GAGTGATAGCATTTTCCTGCACGTCCGCTACCTGGGCCAGATTTCTGGGCACGATGTCGATGCTTGGGAGTCGTAGCCTTTGAAACAGTTTCTGTGAAAACGTTGCATAGCAGTGACAGCCATCGTCGTATAGGGCTCTGGTATAATGTATCCTATTGATTCCTATGTTGACATAGATGCCGTCTTGATCCATTTGTCCCTGCTTTTGAAACTGTCTCCACGCGGCCACGGCTCCCGCGTATCCCTAATCAGAGTCCTCCTCAGTCTGAGTGTCGACTTCTTCAACCACCGCCTCGGTCACTCGGGGTCGTGGCTCGACTCGTGAGACGTTAGTTCGTTTCCGAACTTCGGGGGGTATTGCTGCTGCTAAGGGGCAACGCTCAATGCGGCAGTTGTCTCTCCCACACCGCAAGCATCTTCGTTCATTCATTCGGGCTCGCATCTCGGAATTGTCGACCCATTTGGCACGTTTGCCGAGTAGGGGTTGGTCTTCCGGCCGTTTTGATGGGAAGCCGTAGATGTTTTTTCTTAGCCGTGTGGAAGCAACCTGGACCTGGTCCGGCGGGGTTGGTTCCCACTCCATCATGTCTTCCCTCCGTGTCTCCTTGCTTTTTGTTGGGTTGCGACGGTCCTGACTTCCATCCTCTGGAGCTTTCTTGTTGTTCTTCCACTGTCCGAAGAGCTCCTTTGGTTGCTGACCGCCTCGCATTTGGTTGCGGAAGAGAGATAGCTTTTCAACTCTGCATCAGAACTTCCCGCCGGGTTGGACTTCAATTTCGGATTGAGCGCGTTCCGAAGGTACGAAGTTTTGGAGTCGTCATTCCAAGGCTCCGCTTCTGCGTTTGCGATTTCTTTTTCAAATCGCGGGTAAAATTCCGTAAAGGGCTTGTCGTCTCTTTGTCGGATTGTATGGAGCGACTGAATGGCTTTCGCCTTGCGGTTGCGCTCACCGTACAATATGTCCAGCCGGTCGATTAAGGCCTGGGGGTTCGGTTGATGCTTCTTCAGTTCCAGCTCATGGAAGGTGGTGACGTTCGTCTTCGCCACCCCCCTAGCCGGGAGTAAATGTACCGTAGTTGCGACTTGGTGTTGCTGATAGCCTCAGCGTCGTCCTCGATCTTGCCCTCCATTTCCAGTTTCCAGCCGCGCCATTCTGATTTGACTCCGATAAACATCGGTGGGTGGGGAAGACTGTGTCGCGGCTTGTTTGCTGGGGAGCTGGCGTTGTTCACTTGTGGCTTATCCTGGTCGTCCATGGTTGGTCGGTCTCCTGATTGATCTCCGGTTTGGTCTGCTGGTGGATGGTCTGCTGGATGTTCTGCTGGTTGTTCTGCTGGTTATTCTGCTGGTTGTTCTGCTGGTTGTTCTGCTGGTTGTTCTGCTGGTTGGTCTGCTGGTTGGTCTGCTGGTTGTTCTGCTGGTTGTTCTGCTGGTTGGTCTGCTGGTTGTTCTGCTGGTTGGTCTGCTGGTTGTTCTGCTAGTTGTTCTCCTGGTTGGTCTCCTGATTTGGAAAACAAATCATCAAATTTGATAGATGGATGGTAATGTAAGGGTCAAGGGTAATGTTGATGCAATTAGCCTAGCCTACTCTACGAGTACCATCCATCTATGAAGAAAAACATTAGATACATTCAGTGTGGTGAACCCTTCTCCCTTTTATCCTTCTGTCCTCCCGTCTCGTCATTTCAGGGATCTTCGAGAAGTGAAGCTATTCGGAGATTTCTGTGAGTCCAAGTGCTGTCGAGAATCTTCTGTGGGTCTTTCTGGCCGAAGGCGTCGCAGAGGCCACAATACCGGTCATAGACCGTGACAGTCCTGGGCTGTTCGGATCGCTGATAAGTTAACGAATACTTTATTCGGGTCTGGCTCGACGGGCTGGCGTATATCTGGAGCGTATTTATCGAGTTCTTTATATCGTTGCTCGTTTTCGATACGTAATTTGGCATTCTCGGCGGCCTGGAGTGTAAGGGCCTTGCCAGCCTTGCCTACTAGGGTACGAATCTTACGAGATACCCCGCCCTCGGCTTTCTCTATCGACTGCAGTTGGCTAGATAGTTGCTGCGCTTTCTGAGGAGTAAAAGCAACTAAAGGTGGTGATATATGAGGCGGAGGATCTGGTGTATGAGGCTCCGGAGGATCACAAGATACGTCGACTAGTCCTTCGGAGCCTAGGGGCCATATACCAGTCTTCCGCCAGCCAGAAAGTCTCGGATCTTGGTCGAATCGGACGCTCTAACTCGGCTAGCATCTACGACGCGCCCAATTTTGGTACGTATCTGTGGATGGCGGCTAACGAAGTGATCCACCCAGTGTTGGCCGAGTGTATTGTTATCCCCTTGAGCAAGGAGGATTTCGGCAGCGAAGTCGGCCACATAACGCTTGCTAGGAGCCCGTCCACACACTTCTTCGTGTAGGATCCAGTTCACGATAGCCTCCTCTTGCTCTGGAGTCAACTTTTGTTGCCTGGAGGCTGCGTCACGATGCGAATTACCGTGACGAATACGGTAGGACAGTGCAGTCCCCTTGATACCGTACCGATGAGCTGCTACGGCCTGGGAAGAGCCCTGACGGACAAGCTCTTTAGCGCGTTCGATTCGCTGCTCAAAATCGTCCAGACTATTCTCCACTGGATTAGCCATTTTGTACGTAGATAGGGAGCAATTGCGAGGTAAATTGAGAGACGTCGTGTTGTTGAGGCGTAGAAATTCCCTGCAAAATGGGGGTGCATGCAAAAAGGTGGTCAATGCGGTTAGTTTGTGGACACTTTCGGACCGGGTCCACTGGAATAGCCGGAGTGGAGTCGTGTGTCGGAGTGCCGGTTGGTATTCAATACACTTATCCTATTTGGTCCCAGCTCGCGACATACTCAACTTCATTGTCTATCTGGAATTTATGAAAACTCTCAAACTTCTAGATTTTCAACATCCATTGAAGTTGAGGCCGTGTGATTACAGTCTTCCAACATGAGCGAAGAAGCAAGGTCTCGAACGAGTCAGGAGTCTCTCCTTTCTTCTGACGTCGATGTTGATTTCAATGAGAAATTTAGCCTCCTGTCAGACCTTATAACTACCAAAAATACCTCATTCTACAGCGAGTGGGTCCCTCGTCTTTTGACGGTCAATTTGGTCCAACAGTATGCTTGTTTGCAACGAAGAAGGCCGCATTGCCAATGAACAGAATCAGATGCAATAAAAGCGGGAAAAAAGACCGACGGCGACGCGCAGGTGGAGGGAGGTGTTGGACCAAACCGACCGTCAAAAGGCGGGACCCACTCGTTGTAGAATGAGGTATTTTTGGTAGTTACAAGGTCTGACACACCCCCTCAGCTTGGAGAGATATCGTCAAGTTGTAGTAGCATCTGGCTTATGTCGTTGGTTGGCCTCATTGGCCGTCATACATCTTTTCATCTACGGTGTCTGCAGGGTCTTGAACATCTTTTTTATTGTCCGGCCCTCTACCTTGAGTATGAATTCGGTAATAAAACTCTTATTTTTTGACGCGGTTTGGCAACGTCTCGAACCATTGCCGATGATCTTATGCGGAATTGGAGGACTGATAATACCCGAGAAAATCTTGCAGTCTAAGACGCAAACCCGGGCTCATAACTGTTGGACCAAATTGACCGTCAAAAGACGAGGGACCCACTCGCTGTAGAATGAGGTATTTTTGGTAACGTAGTCCACGGTCCAATTGCACACTTTGGCAGACCTTATACGACAATGTATAAGTTAATTCAACCACAACGCCTATCATCAATTGAAACTACTCAGAATCGTTATCTTCAGACGTCTCTACATCATTTCCACAAGTGCGCGCATTATGTCCGGGCTCGCCGCAGACTCTACAGCGTCGTACACGCGCAATTCGCCGCCTCGTACGACCACCAATTTGACGAAATTCGTCATGTAACTGCCCATCAACCTCTCGTTGAGACTGTAGGTCCTGTCCAGCTTGTATACGAAGTGACCCTCCACTCTGTAGCTGTTTTTTCTTCGCACGGCGACGTCGACTTAAGGTCTCATTTGCCTTTCGAAGTGATTCGACCTCGCCTTCTAAAAGGGCAAGCCGATGCATAACCTTCGTTGTACCTCGCGCAATCTGATCTATTCCAGCAAAAATTGACGTTGGTGAGCTATTTTGATGTCGTACAATCCTATTTTTCACATAATCGGTCGAGTGATGGCTTTCGTGACCGTCGAGGATCAATAGGCGATGAGTACCTTTCGTATGAAACTTGGTGTGATGATCGAAGTGTTTTATTCAATCTTCGCCTCTCTCGTTCGTAGTCCAGCCATTTTTAGTAATTGCGATAACCCAATCAGGCGGTAATGGGCTGTTTTCGTACCATGACGAGAGGTGGGTTTTGCCGGCGAAAATGATGTACGGAGGGAGGGCATAACCGGACGACCCAACGCCTTGAATAACTGTAACCCATTCCCGATTTCCTTTCTGGGCTGCTCTAGGCCTTCCGCGCCGATCAGAGGTCGTCACGACCATTTCGGACGAGATTTGGCCTATTACAAAACCGGTCTCGTCGAAGTTGTAGATATCCTCCTCCTGGATCGCGTATTTCGCAATTGTATTCCGTACCAGGTCAAACCACGCACGATACGCGTCGGGGTCTTCGCAGAGGACTCTCTGATAGTCGATCCTTCGATTTAAACACGTCCGGAGGTCTGGTTATCGTCTTACGAAGCTCGAGGCCCAGTTGACGCCGACGCGTCCCGCGTCGCGACTTCGAAGTAATCGGTTGGCCATATCTTCAACACCACTCAATCGGGGAGGAAATGCTCGCGAATCTAGGTCGGTTATATGTCGTACGATTGCCTCTTCTTCGGAAGGAGTCAACTTTTGCGTTGGCGATCGCGTAATCGCTCGAGCGGTTTTACCGTCGCGTCGATACGCAAGGGTTCTAAAAGGTACGTTATAGATCTGACCAGCGCGACGTACACTTAATTTTGAATCAGATTGAAGCGGATGTAATGCTAGAATCATATCACTTTCATTCCAAGAACCAACCATAGTTATGTGGTGAAAAACCGCAGGTCAAAGTGGTAGCGTACGAAAATCTGCCGAAGTGTGCAATTGGACCGTGGACTACGTTAGTCATAAGGTCTGACACATACAGTTGCTTGTGAACTGACTATGACCCCGAGCCTTTATGGTATGACGCTCTATCAACTGCCCAAGTGAGAAACCATCTAATGCCGTCCGATGGAACCTCAAGCTGGGTTCGAAGTCGCCATTCACGAGCCTTGACCCCGAGATTGCAGATGCTGCATGGGACACTATTGAAGTCTCCGGAACCCGTATGTAGCTCTTCCGACGTAAACTGCTGAATTTTGAAACTTCTAACGCTTCGTTAAGTTGGGTGGCTGAAGATGCCCAATGAGGATATGGATGCCATGGGAGCCAAATCGGTGGAATTCAAAGATGGCTCGGGACAGCTTGTCGCCTTGGACGTTTTCCACCAGCTGCACTGTCTCAACTATTTGAGGAAGAAGACTAGTCTTTACTCCCCTCTCTACCATGACATGGCACACGAAGAGGAGATCCCGGCGCAGTACCACATCCGTGCGTTTGATCCCCCAGAACTTGTTTAGGCGCATATGACTAATTCTCTTCTAGCGCATTGCATCGATTCTATCAGAATGCCTCTTCAGTGTCATGCAGACCTGAGCGTCATCTCACAAAGGTGGGCAGATGGATGGATGGAACCTTGGGCGACCTGGGAGAACAATCATCGCTGCCGCAACTTTGACAAGATCAAGGAATGGGCCATTGAGAAGTATCCCGTACTAGCTTGGCAGATGGTGCACCCGCAGCTAGGCTACGTGATGAGTGGCCAGAACAATATCTCAGCTCTCCCTCTTCTGGACGAGCTGAAGGATGAAGAATAGAATAGCTGCTACCGGCAATACAAGACCTAAAAGTGCTTGAGTCTAGGAGAAGAAAACCGTGTATCGAGACCACAATGAAGGCAATACTTTCAATTAAACACTAACACGGGAAACCAGGCCTGATCATGGAAATGGCTGCTGTTGTTGGCATTGAAATCTAGATACTTGGATCGCGGCGCAAAAAGGCGGCCACCGCGAAGAGACCCACTAAGTCCTCACATCCCTGGGTGTAGGTTGATGTTCCGACTTCGGGGCGATTTACATGTTATGTAACGAGACGTGTCAAGCCAGATCCGAACGTGGAGTATTGTTGAGTAATTGTGGTAACCCAGGCGGTCAATTCCACGGTAAGCATATCTTAGTGGGGAAACACTTCAGCAGACATGGGGCCGTTCACTCTGTGACGTTAAGGGTCCTGCTTGCCAAGTAAAGTGAATCAAGTGGCCGTTCGCTCTGTGACGTTAAGGTCCTGCTTGCCAAGTACAGTGAATAAAGTGGCCGTTCACTCTGTGAAGTTAAGGGTTCTGCTTGCCAAGTAAAGTGAATAAAGTGACTGTTCACTCTGTGAAGTTAAGGGTCCTGCTTGCCAAGTAAAGCGAATCAAGTGGATGCTCCGCAACGGACCGGATGCCGACCCCGAGTCCATGGGCGGACCGACTATATGTACGTTCGAGTCATGAATCCGATATCTCTACGTAAGTTGCCCCAAACTAGATGTTGAATGTTGTTCTTTGGTTCATTTTCACCATGCTTGTGAAAATGGAAAAGCCGTCGAAACTGAGCATTTTCGCTCGGCATCGGTCTTCTCTGTTCGTCCTAGGTTCCCAAGTCGTGGCTGCTTTATTGCATGCACTCGCAAGACTTCTCGAAACGGGATCCGAGAGAGTGCATCCCTTCACCGTCCTCCAAATCCGGCTCTTCATAACTGTCATAGGAAGCAGCTTGTACCTATGGCGGACCCAATCGCCTGGTTTCCCTTTGGGGCCACCTGAACTGAGGCCCCTATTAGCCCTCCGAGCAGCCGGAGGTGTTCTCGGTGCTTGCGGGTTCTATGGTAGAAATACACCCGGCTACTAGCCGTAAGCTCGCCTCGCGACTGACAATTATTCCTAGTGTCGATATCCTATCTGTCCCTCGGCGAAGCAACTGCACTCAACTTCTTGGCACCGCTTGGTGCCTTGATCTTGACCAGGTTCGTGGACAATGGCACCTTTACCCTACCAGACCGAGCCGCATGCGGATTCGCTCTCGTCGGCGTCGTCTTCGTTCTACAGCCCGAGTCCATCTTTGGGACAACGGCGGCGGCCGCTAAGGACCCTACTATCAACCCTACCAATTATTTGACCGGCATAGCGTCTGGAATTATTGGAGTGACTGGCGGAATCGTAGGTTCAATTCAATTCAGGTCTCCATGTTCGCAGCTGATTGATCTGTTGTAAACAGGTTGCGCTGTCAGCAATCAGCCGGATAGGGCCCCGTGTGCACCCGCTTCTCAGCGTCAACTGGTTCGGCATCTGTGTTTGCATATTAACGACGGTGTGCTCCTTTTTCATACCCGAAATCGTCTTACCAACCAGTGCTCTGTCTTGGTGTTTGCTTGTGCTTTTGGGATTCCTTGGCCTTGCCATGGTAGGTAACCCTTGCCATATTTGTGTCGGTTCATCAGCGCTTATCAAGAACGCAGGAATACCTTCTTACGGCTGGATTATCAACCGATGCATCGTCGGGCGCGACTGTCATGATATACTCGCAGGTTCTATGGGCACTCTTGTTCGATTGGATCATCTGGCACGTGCATGTAAACTCTTTGACTTTACTGGGATGTGTGGGTGTTATCGTTAGCCTGTCAGTTGTAACCATGTCCAAGGAGTTCTGGCCGCCGAGCGCCCCTTCGGACACCCTGAACTCTTACGAAGAGGAATCAAGGCTCGACCCTGCGTTTGAAGAAGCATACTCTGCGCAGATCAGTCTTGGCTAGCACCATTTACGCTGTACACGAAGCAAGATAGCGAGCATATGTTATATCAACCAATTATAGAGTAGACACTAGCTGATACTAGACCAAAGAAAGCCACCGAGAGCAAATTTTCCCTCTGACTGAGATTCAGCTCGAAGAAACCAATCCTTTGCTACCTGTCTTTCTGATTCCGCCTCCCACAGTTAGGCAGTCATTTTGAAGCTGCGCCCCCCCTTCTCCCCTTAAATTCTCAACATTTTATCTACAAAAGACCTAACACCTTCCACTCATTCACAGCTGAGCAACCAGCAACCGATAAACCCCTGAGTCGAAATTTCATTCCGAAAACGGCATACCTAGAAAGCTGGGTCATCAGCAACCAATGAACCCCTGAGTCGAAATTTCATTCCGAAACCGGCGTACCTAGAATGCTGGGCCATTACGCCATTTAACATACGGTTGCCCGCCGGAAAGATCAGATGATGAGCGTGACATTTATCCGAAAAAACATGATGCATGTTGCGACTCTTAACATAACTATGTCAACTCATTTGCAGAATGCGTACTGATCGCTATGGTGAACGACTAGCTAAACCCTTCCTCGTACCATTCGATGTCCGCCCCTCGCCGTACCCAAGGGGCACAGGCACTGCGGACTGCCTCCTGCAACATTTCCGGGCCGCAGGATACAACGGCTGTCGTCGATCCTTGAATATCACCGCCATCGAAGAAGACATCCACGACTTCTTCCCAGTTAGGCCGACCAGTTGCTATGTTCTTGTATTCCCCAGGCGCCACTGTAATCAAGTCATCGGCATCCTCGTCTTGTACAAGATCCCCCAACTCGACATCTTCACCTCGAGTCGAATTTTGCGAAGGTTGGGTCAGGAAAATCTTCATGAAGTTGTGGAGAGAGGCCTCGAGCGTTGGGACTTCTCTAGTCAGCTTCTCGTCGCAAAAGAGCCGTAGTACGGTATCCAGCTCAGTACGAGTTTTAACTACTAGTATCAACTGGATTCGACATCTCGGCGTCTCTGCGGGTGCAGCTTCATATTCCGTCACGATTTTTGAGAAAATGGGCATGATGAATGAAGCTCCCGACCCGGCAGCGACCAGGAACAAGTTGTCATAGGAAGCACGGAGGTGAGATGGGAGGGAGGGAGCGGAATGGACCGCTGGGCCGTATGGTCCTTCTACCACAAGCTCGAATTCTTGTCCGACGTCACAAGTCTTAGCCATCGACCGAAGGACCGATGTTTGTCCTTTTTGCGGTCGAATGAGCAAGAGCATGTCCTTATCCGCGGGACCCCTGAATACGGTGAATGGATTCCTCCGCAGGTAGTTTTTGAAGAATGCAAGGAGGAAGTTGCCTCCAGAGGTCTTCCCGATATAGACGTGTGAAGCGTCCGGCAGATAGTGAGAGTCACCATCGAGCTGCAGAGTAACTACGACGTCCGACGAGGGAGTCATCTCTAGTTTGGCCGCCAAAGTCTTTGTGCACCTGATCCGTGCCACGATGCTGACAAGATATATGATGAGAGACTCGGAAGCGAATAATCGAGCATGGTTGGTGTGAAAGAAGATGAATATCAGCGCCAGAGTGACACCGGCAACGTGGTTCAGGAAGAAAAAGCGGTAGTTCCAGGACCGCACGAAGCGCGCGCTGGTGACAGCGATAACCGCCAATGAGAAGGTGCCTGCCAGCCCAAGGAGGACATCCGAATCGCGAATTCGTTTCGACACAAGGCCGGATTTGACGTAGAAGTTGAGATAGAGCATGACGTGGCACAATGCCAAGGCAATGGCGATTCGAGCCAGTATGCGATGATAGATGTTCAGATGTCTTTCCGAGATGCCTAGCAGCTTCTGGACTGGGGAATGACTGGACTTTACCGCCAGTAAAACGGTCATTGGGAGTTGCGAGCTTGCCACAGCGCCGATGCGTTTTGTCAGGTGAAGATAGTCTATGGATAGGGCTGGATGTCAGCCATTTACCCAGAAGCACGAACATTGATCATCTTTGACCTACCAGAACTTGTGTTACAGAGACAGATAATAGACAGCCAAACGGCCCAGGAGAGACCCATGAACCATTGAAACACCGTCCCATCCAGCCGACCAGCACGGCATCCAAGCCACCACAATACCGTGTGCATTATACGGCGTGGTAACGAGGAAGATGAATACCCATGTTTTGGCACTGTTTGATATTTGCATTTGGGACTCAAGTTGAACATGTCATGGAGATTGCGACGCCGAGACCATGCAGCCAGCAATATGAGAGGCACACAGCTGCTAACTTGTGCAATGAGTGCATATTGACTGATGACATCCGGGCTGGCGGGATTGGCGGGCTGGAAGTGAAATGGCCATTCCATCATTGCGACTGGCTTGAGAATGAAATGGGCTTGTGGTGTTGTCAAATCTTGGTATGGATAGGTAGAAGACCTGACTTGAGATTGGAGATTACACAACCATACCTAGGGTATGGTATTGCATCAGGAAGACTATTTCAACCGAAGCTGTCAATCAACTTTGGTCGCAAGAGGCGATGGCGATGTTGACATACTCGCATGGCAAAGGGTAAATAGCACCGAAGCAGCTCTGCTAGGCCCGAGGGTATCTTACCGTTGCAATTTCAGTGCATTGCTTGACTTGTAGCATTCCGGTCCGAGTCACTTCAAATGTTTTCCGGATAGTGGGTCGTCCGGACCGTGATGGAGACGAACGATACTGTGGCTGATCGAGTCCCGGATAACCGAGTCGGTGAAGAACAATAGATTTGAGTCATTTGGTAATATTTGACAATATCTGTGGCCCAAAAGTTGGTAGAACCACGATTTTTTTTTACAGGAGTGTCTCTCCTCATTGCAGTCAGCGCAAATTCGGTGGCATAACGTAAAACCCCACCTTTCCGGCCACCTAATCTGCCAACTACAACAACCTTCGGCACAACAGATTATCGTCGGTATTGGCTATTATTATACAATGCCTCGATATTCAGAAAATTCGATTCAAGGCGCTCTCAACGATATCAATCAAGGGATATCCCAGCGCCAGGCTTCCCTCCGATGGGGCGTTCCACGCTCTACCCTCCAATTACGACTCGGCGATGGCCTCGGCCATTCTGACGCGTCAATCGCGTCGATGAAGCTATCTAGAGATCAGGAAGACGCGCTGATTGGATGGAGCCTCGAAATGGATCGCGACGGTCGTAGCCCGTCGGCGCTATTCATCGCTAAGATGGCGTTGATTCTGTTACCTCAGGATCGTCGATCATCAGGCCTCGGTCGCCATTGGGTTCATCGCTTTATTCAACGCCATCCAGAGGTCGGAAGTATCCAATCTCGACGCCTCGACCGTCAGCGATTTGATGGCCTATCGACGCAGAGTATCGACGATTTCTTCGAGACGTACGAAGCCTTGATGTCAGCTCACGACTACTTTCCACATAACGTCTGGAATATGGACGAAACAGGCATCGCGATTGGCGAAGGGATCGAGGGTATAGTGTACGGATCGTCAGAGAAACATGCAACATTCGTTCGGAGTGACGAAAGCCGCGAATGGGTCACTATATTACATGCTATATCGGCGATGGGTAACTCGTTGACCCCAGCAGTAATATATACTAGCAAGAGCCTCCAAGCCCAATGGTTTAACGATTGCGACGATATACCTGATTGGCAATATACTTATTCGTCTAACGGTTAGATCAGTACAGATATCGCCGTTCGATGGCTTCGTGATATCTTTATACCTCGTACACAACCAGTTGATCCCGACGAGCAGCGGCTCTTGATATTAGATGGTCATATCGCTCACGACAACGTCGAGTTTATGTGGTTAGCCTATTGTAACAAGATGTCGTTACTATTTTTGCCAGCACACTGTTCTCACGGGCTCCAACCTCTCGACGTCGCCGTATTTGCTCCATTAAAGCGGTACTATCGCTCGTTAGCGACCTCTCTCTCGATCGAGTACTGTTCTATTCCATTTAAAAAGTCGACGTTCCTCTCCGCTATACATCGAGGCATGCGAAATCGTTCACGATCAGTAATATACAATCAGGCTTCTCTGCAACTGGAATATACCCATTAGATCCTTCGCGACCTCAGCCGACGATAGCCCCCCTATCAGAACGACCAACTACGCCACCAACAGCTGGTAATTGGCTTGATCCGACAATAATAGCGACGCCAGTGATTAGCTTAGTAGCTAGGGAGAGTCTGGCAGCGATTACGCCATTGCGATCGTCGCAACGGCTATTGTTTCGGAAGCTGACTCCTCGGCTAGATGTACAGAGCGTCGAGGTCGCTACTTTGACCCAACGTGTACACGCATTAGAAGCCGAGATAACTTCGTTACGCCCCAAACCACGTAATAAGGTACGATTAGGGCCTAATGAACGATTTGGTAACATTGTACAGATTAAGGAAGCGATGGATCGAGCCCTTGAAGTAGAACGGCAACGAGACCAGGTACAGCGTCGGAATTAGGTAATACTGGACCTAGCTAAGGCGTCATAATCTATCAGATCTATACCTCAGGAAGCCCTAGAGCACAGCTTTCTATTAGAGCTGGTTATACCTGAATAGCTATAATAGTACGTTGAATACACTGTTTCGAATACCTTCAATTGGATTGCAATGTGGCCAGAAAGGTGGGTGGCCGGAAAGGTGGGGTTATACGTTATGTACATGGTTGATGACGGATTGCTGGAGGCGCGAGGAAAGCTAAAGCGAAAATATGCAACAGCAAAAGCACCACGTAGCTTGTTGTACGTTCGATGCTAATGTTGAAGTGGAAGGCTTGAAGAACGAGGGAGGAAATTCGGCTGCCGGCATGATCCCGTAGGATTATAAGAAGGCCGCCTATAAAAGTTCTGCTATGACTCGCTATATAATCTTGGTGTCGACCAGTTCAACGGACTTACGATCCAATCCAATCAGGTCGGACTCTAGTTTGTATTCGTAAATATATGGGCACGGCGGTATGTTTGCTTTGCTTTGGTTTAATTTATTTTATATGGATCTGCTTTACGTTATTTGCTGGCCATATTGTATTCTGATTGGGTTAGTAACCAAGGCGGTTCTTCCAGTGCTTTTGGCAGGGAAATCTGGTTGGTAGGTTGAGGTACTTACGAAGATGTTGCCATCATGACCAAATCTGTCACAGATTCGAAAAATCCTTCCTTTGGCAGCGTATGGGACAGTCTCCCAAATGTACCGAATATCATAGCCAGGCTGGCCTGGTTGGCCTGCCTTTCTCTCAATCCCTGACGAGTCCCATTTTGGCACTCCAAGACGAGATTACAAAGTCCAAGGGTTGCGACGTGTAAATATGTGCTGATAACTCATCAGCTCAGTCTCTTTGCCTAAGGAGGATATTACGTACACTCTGTTGGAAAAGCTAGGAATACTATTGGTCGCCGCGATGATTTCGCGGACGGAAGTTGCGCGGTCTAGTCGATGGGCTGGGGCCTGCCAGCAGTCGACAGACTTCATTCCGTTATCAGAAACTTGTTCCAGGTTTCTGTCTGCAATATTACAAATTGCAAGAGCAGCCTCGTGGTATTTCAGAAACATTAACATGTTGTAATGATAATCGGGAGCATGCGTTGCTGCCGCTATTTCACTCGACTTCCGAACAATCGTTGGTGCCGAGCTGAACCAGGCCACAAGGTCATCTGCAAGTTTGGAAACCGTTGAAAAGCCCGCCTTATCGCCATCTCGTCCTCTAGGATGGGAATTTCGACATATCTGCGCACACACCTGCGCGTACTGCAGTTCCGACTTAAGACGACAAGCTGACATATGCCTCGCACTATCCGAGATATTTTTGTCATTACACCCCGCATCAGGGGGAGCATAGGTGATGACGTGTTCCGGGAAAGTCTTTACAGCTCAACGTCGTTAGTTCACCACTCCTTCAGGACGATATTGTTAGGATGGATATATTTACGGAAAATGATTGCCAACGCATTGCGTACATCTGATCGATGTGTTGAAGCACCCAGACGGCGCATTTGGTCATGACGACCTCATCTGGACCGGAGGCAATGGCTAAAATGCCTGATTCCGTATGGAGCGACAAGGAGTGGGCAACTCCAACACTGTAGCCCAAAAGCGTGGACACGCAGTCAAGACCAGTGTCAAATGCAAATTGCAGCTGTAAAATTATAGTTAGTGACCTGTTAACGTCTTGATGGGACGACCTGTGGGCTGCGATGGATAAAGAAAAAAGAGCTGCAAGGGCTCAAGGACTAACGAACCAGAGTCACGAACGCCTATATCCGCAACGTTAGCTAATTCCCGAACCTCCCATGGCGGCGTCAGGTGATGTACATACCAAGAACTTCGGTATGCTGTCCTCATCCACAGTAACTGAGGTGCTGAGCTTCAAGCAGTTACGAACCATCTGTTTTGAAAATGTCGTCCATTCGTTCGAGCTGACCAACTCACCCCGAGCCATCAGAACTTGAAGTAGGAGGAGTCTAGCATTGGAATGGGGACTGGAAATTGCTTTGATTTGTTCATCGATCGCCGTCTCAATGTAGCTAGTACTTAAAAAAAGTTCGGGACTGCAAACATAACGATTAGCTGAATTCGGCGAGAAAGTAGACCACCCGCGTGATATAGATTACGGAATGTGCTTACCCTCCTGGTTCATTCATACAATCTATCGACACAGTAATTAGAAGGGGGTTTCTATGATCTGCGATGCGTTCACTAACTCACCTCGAATAGATACCAGGTGCTGCTCCTCGACACAAAAGCCATGAGGTGTGAAGTCCAGTGCTTCGTCTGTCGCGCCCCACCTTCCCACACTGCGTAATTGGAACCTTCTTGACACCAAACGACTCGATATACTGGGATACCTAGTGGCAGGCGGCGTAGATGGTGAAGAAAACCTAAACTCTTGCATGGAGAAGTTGTTTTTTTCATCCATAGCATGAACGACGTCTTGTAGGCTGCGATCGCTACATCCTTCTTGCGGAAGTAAGAAAGGCTCCAGAGACGCTTGATCATAGAAATCCATGAAATTTATCATGTTATCGCCAACGCTCATAGGTTCCATATTGTTCCCTGCTTCGTCCAAAGACATGCGCAGAAAATTATCCATCGATTCATCGTGCTGTATTGCAACGGGCTGAGTACGAGGAGAGACCATGTTTTCCGTAGATCGTGCTCCATGGCTCTGGAACGCCGAAAAATCAATCCCGTCAAGATTAGGCAGAGATGCTGACACTCCATGGCTTTGCGGTTCTGGAGAGCGTTGCGGACAAGGCAATGAGCTCGAGTGTACGGGCGAGACCATGGACGAAAGAGGGGGACATATTGGCACGGATAACTGTCTTATTGGCGCAGAGTAGTCACACGCTACACCATGTTTCTACATGTTTGCCAGTCAGTATCAACTTGGATATTGTGAGAGGATTCCTTGTCGAGCTGAAGGCGCCGTCATGGAGGAGGATAACATACCTCACAGAGTTTGCACGGTTTCTGACCATTGCCTGTAGCATGATATACATGATTAGCAAATCAAAATCGGCGCCATTCCGAAGAAACGGTTGACATTCCGTCGAAATACTGAGATGACGGGCACGTACATCGAATCTTTTTTTGGCGGCACAGTTGGCACGCCCCACGGCGCCGGGTACATCTTCTTTGCTCCACGAACGTCATTTTTGAATACGGTTATACAACACTCAAAGTTTTGCATACTAATAGATCTATATATTTGCAAAAAGGATACCTGGTATATCACCGGATTCCAAGAAGTCGATCACGAATCGTTGCCAAGAAGTCTATGAGCGAATTGGTGCTTCTTTGAAAAATAAGGTTTCGTGCTACTATCTAGTGACATCAACGCATATCCCCGAACTATTATCAAGTGACTTCCTGACGTTGCAATCGCCTCCCCACACGGCGATAAGAGGGACCCTGAGTTTGTTGAGCAGTAGTTTCGATCCACAGTCTAAAACACTTCACTCTTTGTCGAACGACCTCCGTGGCAACGAGTGGGATGATCGGAGATAGTCATTGGACAGGACGTGCCTGTTGCATTCTGAAATCTCTAAAGTCGCAACACATGTTCCCTGGCAAACCGCCTTGAGACCGCGGGTATGCCAACACCATCCCCGTTATGGGGTTTATACAGGGTTTACGGACCCCTTATCCTCTTCATCTTTCCAATTCCGCGATCCATATCATTACAAGCACTAGAGTGCTAGAATACCACCTTGCTGGGTCCTTATCGACTCCGCCTGATGCGACTAATGTCGTAATCTCGAGGTTGGCGGCTTACCGCCATTGTTCAGCGCGGCCAAGGCTATAACCTGGTGAAGGCGGTGCATCGTGACCGAACTCGCTCTGTATGATTATGACTCGTGGTCTTGGTAGGGCGGGACCAATCGTTGCAGACAAGTACGGTTCAGATGAGTATCTGACTCGTGGCATTGTAACAGATTGGGCCATACCCCAGTAGAAGGAAAAGGTCCTGCTCTGGAACTTTCTGCGCTAATTAACAGTCTCAGATCAAATACGACATGTGTTAGAGACCTTGCGGTGATTCTACTCCATAGCCAGGGCTAGCTGGAGCGTAGGATCTGTGAAGCCAAATTAGAAAGAGTTGTAGCGAAAATTAGGGGTCCTATGCTCCGTGCTTAACCTTCTATAGCTAAGGAGTGGGTCCCCGCATACGACTATATTAAAGTTACCATGGCACAGGTTCTTGACGTAATGTGGAAATAGTGGCGTCTGACGTGCCTGACCGGAGTATCGGAGTTGGTTGGTGTGCGGTGCCCGGTCATCAACTCATGCAGGTGCATGGGGGCCCAAGACTGACCAAGTCGGGCCAGCGCGCGCTGTCTTGGCACGAGTCAGGGGCACGTATGTTCGTTATCGGTAATTCGGACAACGATCGTACCAATAATCGTAGCGGAATATGGTCCCCTGTTGACTACACCGCGGATCCTTGACTCGTGTGTTCCTTGCAAAACATCCGGCACGACCAGGGTAAGGTACATCTGTTCAAGTTGGTATGGTATTTGGAGGTATATGTTGCCACTCAACATACCACGATGGCAGCTAACAAAACGGGGATTCCGGGAAGGAATGACCACGCCACGCTACCGTCGGACCCTGCAGCTTCAAGTATTCGAAAAATGACAGCCCCAAAAATACCAGATTTTTTGCGGAGCCATGAGAGCGATGTTGTGAATCGCCAAGATTGTCCCGGTCTGCTCCCGTTCCTTCCCCGCGCTGTCACCAGGGGTTCTGCCCAGTTCCATGGACAAAACGTGTTCTACACGTATCGTGGAGATTTCCTGAGCGATCATGGTGTGGGGGATCCAAATGTTCATAGTGCTGACTACTCCGAAGCCGCAAGTCAATATCGAGGCAATGTCAAAGAAATCCTGCATCAAGAACGCGGAAAGAAGCAACAACGCTAGGACACCGAAAGACGCACGCCAAGGGCGTTTAAGCTCCGTGGTGTCCAGATGCAATTCACGTCGTAGCCGAGCCATTTTGGACCGAGTGTCGCCCGTGAGAGGCGTGCGTTCGGGTTGCCAAAGATGGCTGATCAGAACTACAATTAGCAGGCCGGCGCACTGCGAGACAAGCAAGACGCGAGCACTCAGGATGCGAGCTAGCCCCTGAGCTTCCGCCAGGTCTTTCCCAACGTGAGGATATGACTTCGTATCTGGATATCACCATGGTTAGTATTATTCCAAGCCGGCCGAGCTGTTGCAAGCGGTCGAGACGCCCTTGATAGGGACGGAAGGATCGGAAAGGATGAAAAACGCACAGCTTTGAGAAAGATATCTACGTCGCGGACGCAATCTGGTTAGCTTGTGTACACAGGATTGAGACTCTTCAGCGCTTGACGGGTAACCTACAGGTTCAGATAGTGGAACACAGAACATGCAAACCAATTGAACATCTGTGTCTTACAGACACGACGGGTGATTGGGGGCAAGTTGATTATGGAACGTCGCAGGTTACGTGTAAGGGACATAACCCCACTTCCACGTCGTACGTGTTTGGGGCGTACTCTCAAGTGCACAGCACATGTGACACAAACTGTTGCCGCCACGAGAAATGCAACGACACTGTAGAGCAGCTTGAATGGCGGATCGAACTAGGTTTCCACCAGCAAAATGAATACCGTGCCAATTCCCGTGAAACAGGAGGCCCAAGAATTGATGGTACCTTGCTGGTGACTCGCACATTCATCAATCGTCAGAGCACGCAGGCCCGCCATTGAGTGCTTGGAGGGCGAAGTTGGTGCCATAGACACAGATAGTGGCAACAACCTGGGCCAAGCGCAAGGCATGCCATCCATTCCCATCGACGTTGAAGACCGCCATTACGGCCCCGGCGAACTTTCTGGCGAAAGCCAGCGGAGGGAGAAGGCCAATAAGAACGAGAGCCCCTCCGACAATGAAGGGAACGCGTTTCCCAAAACGACTGACATGTTGATCGCGGAGAACGCCGAAGACAGGGAAAGCGACTAGTCCCGCCAGTGGCCCGGCGAGGAGAACCATGGAAACAAGCGACTCGGAGAATTCAAGTTCTTCGAGAAGATATTCCTTGTGATAATGTTAGCGGCTGTGGGTAAATGCGGAGATGTTATGCGTGGCTTACTGCTGTGAATGCCTGAATGAGGGTCGAGTAGGCGTGCATACTTGATCGTTCGATGCAATTAGCGGTCGGCTCATACCCCAGGGTGTGGGCGTATCAGACCCAAAGAACGATATCGTAAGTGTGAACGTTTTTAACCCATCGACATGTTTTGGGCAGCTCACCCCCTCGACCGATTCTACTTCAGTAGAGTCGTTAAAATCAGAGGGTGGGCGGTAGACTCAAGGCTTGGCTGCTTGCCATCGCTTCAAGCTGACTGTATACTCGTTGGTCATCTAGCATAGTTGCAGAATGAAAAAATAGAAACGTAGTATAATCAGAGCAGTGCCGCGGGAAAATTGGAAGACTTGTCCAGTATTCAATTGATGTCAAAGTAGAAGATTCGTCACCCGAAACGTCAACACCCTGCGGCAGCCTTGCTCACGGGGGATTTCCGAGTCCGACCTCGAACATGCGCAGTCACAATCAATCGTCACCGGACCGACGCGACTCGGACCATCTTGCATCCAGTCCGACAACGCCTATGACGTATAAATCCAGAGTAAATCCAGAGTACAGCCAGAAAATGCTAAGACCGTATCGAGCTAGCACGGCAAGCTAGCATTCATTTTCTGTTGTCTGTTTTCCATTTAATATGATTATATTTCATAGCGGTTTTGATCTATTAGGGATCCACGACTATGTGGTGCATGCGTATTGGTCATCGTCATACACCACCCAACCACTTTAATAACAAGGCCTCGTGCCATACGGACTAATATCCATACCGCTAATAGTACTAGCCTCTTAACATGATTCGTATTTTATGTCCACTTCCATGAATCGTGAAGCGGCGGATGGGACTCCACGGCGACCCAGTCATCTACTGGGCTAACGAGTATAGCGGGTATCAGTGCCGACATAGCGGTGAGCGGTCCGGCCTCTGTGGTGGAATAGCTTAAGTAGCCATTGTCTGAGTAATCACTGCACGTGTTTATACTATGTAACGTCCCACGCCCACATCCGGGACACCCCCACATGTGGGACAGCCAAAAATGCCTCATCAACACCGCTAGCCTCCAACTTCAATCTCTTTTATCTTTACTAATATCGATTCAATCGTTACGAAATTTTACGTACGTCTTCTTTACACTAATATGAGTCAATATACCGAAGATGATATTTATCGAGCTCTTCAAGCAATAGCTACCGGTCAAAGCCTCCGAAAAGCAGCATATGAGCATGGTGTCCCAAGGTCCTACTCTTTCACGACGGATTCAGGGAGCCCAGTCAAGAGATATAGCCTTCGCTGACTACCAGAGGCTCTCTCCAGCCCAGGAATCCCATCTGGCTGAATAGGTTCGAATCCAGGCTGCCCTAGGCCTCCCACCAACCCATCAACAGCTCAAAGACTTCGCCGAGCGTATCCTACAGATCCACGGAGACACCGAACCACTTGGAAAGAACTGGGTGTAACGAGGATACCACACGTCTCACAATATATTAGTCAGGTAGTGCAAAGGGTAGCTAGAAGTAGGCCAGTGTATGGGTGCGTATATTGCAAGACTGATTCTTGGAAGAATCTAAACTAGGTGTGAGCGTCTCGAGTTCTCCTCTTAAGCTGGGCGGTTCCGGGGTTCTACCGGATCGGGGGCGAATCCCTCCCGACTCAGCTTGTCAGCTGAGACCGGCCCGCCACAACGGCTCTTTCCTTACACTGGGTCCAGGCTTTTATCAAGAGGAACCCTTCAGTCAAGGTCCAGAGAATCAGAGCTATCGATTCCCAGCGTATTAATGGAGCCTCAGCTAATATAATCAGGCAATAGTTTAAATGCCTCGCTATCCCTGAGATCAAGGCTATTAAGGCCTCTAATCGATACAATATGGATGAGACAGGTATTCTAGAAGGTAGAGGATCAAATGGTCTTATTCTAGGATCATATGAGACTCGTTCTATACGGAAGAAACAGCCTGGATCTCGAGCTTGGACATCTCTTATAGAGTGTAACGTACAACCTCACCTTTATGGCCACATATTGCAATCCAATTGAAGGTATTCGAAACAGTGTATTCAACGTACTATTATAGCTATTCAGGTATAACCAGCTCTAATAGACGTTATGTGGAAAGTAGTCGTGAGCTGACATCAAGGCTTCGTACGTCTCGAAGAAATCGTCGATATTCTGCGTCGATAGGCCATCAAATCGCTGACGGTCGAGGCGTCGAGATTGGATACTTCCGACCTCTGGATGGCGTTGAATAAAGCGATGAACCCAATGGCGACCGAGGCCTGATGATCGACGATCCTGAGGTAACAGAATCAACGCCATCTTAGCGATGAATAGCGCCGACGGGCTACGACCGTCGCGATCCATTTCGAGGCTCCATCCAATCAGCGCGTCTTCCTGATCCCTAGATAGCTTCATCGACGCGATTGACGCGTCAGAATGGCTGAGGCCATCGCCGAGTCGTAATTGGAGGGTAGAGCGTGGAACGCCCTACCGGAGGGAAGCCTGGCGCTGGGATATCCCTTGATTGATATCGTTGAGAGCGCCTTGAATCTAATTTTCTGAATATCGAGGCATTGTATAATAATAGCCAATACCGACGATAATCTGTTGTGCCGAAGGTTGTTGTAGTTGGCAGATTAGGTGGCCGGAAAGGTGGGGTTGTACGTTAGCTCCTTCACGTCGTCGGCAGATTGGCCTATACCGAAGTCCCTTGAGAACTAGGATTATCATTGATCCGACCAACACTCAAGCATATATATATGTAACACAATGAATTATTTTCCAATATCCCAAACAGCTTGTGAAGCAATCGAGTCGGTGCGTTGACAACCAAGTCCGGCGGCTCGTAGTCTTGCATCCCCCGGTTAAATTAGCCCGGTGTTTACCGTAAGGCTGAGTGTGTGTTCCAACTTCGCTTTCATGATATTCATGGAGTATCTTTACTTTGCAAAAGGACCGCTTGCCAAACAACCATCTCGTTTTCCTCACAGTAGTGCACAAGATGACAAAGCTAGTCAAATATACCGTCACAGTTGCCAAGTCGTGATGATACTGATAAGAATGATAAGAATAAACCCTGCGTCGATGTGTTCAGCTGGTATATCTCCTTCCGGATTAAGTTTAATTCCTGAAGCTTTTTTTCTCCATGGTCAGCAGCTTCTGAGCCTTGACATAAAGCGCCGCGCCGAATGCAATTATGCAGCATATCTGTCCATATTCCTAAAATGATCGTCCATACGGGTAGTCCCACTCCGGATCGCATGGGTGATTTCTTCTGTTGTGCCATTGCCAAGATCCGCTAAAGAGGGTGGTACCGGTGTCTTGGGTCGAAGAGTTTTCGTCATCCCTAGAAGGGGATTTCGAGGTTAATGTGGTCCCAAAGACGATTTATGGAAATAAACGAGAAAGAGGATACGAACTACTGTGTTTGTTAACGAAACAGACAGTTCTACTCAAGTCTGCATCAGAGAGAAAATATATTGGGGACCACCTGAACACCGCCATGAAGATTGCCGCGTATCTATGCGTGGCGTTGAACTCCACTAAAGTTGACCGACTGAAAAATGATCTATATCCTTTCTGCTACTCCTGAGAAGGATCAGCTAGCTCTCAACTGCTTCCAGGCAACTGGGCCGTGCATGTTCCACCGGGTGCGGGGGAGAAGAGAGCTACGAGCTGAGGAATGGAACACCTAATGGAAATACGAGAAATCACAACTAATTTTCAACAGTACCCGTGATCAACACCAGCTTGGGTCTTATCACAATCTTGAATGGCCTGTCGACCGTCAAGTATCAGCAAGTAGCTGTTGTCAGAACGCCGGGGGCATTGCACCGGTGGGGAGCCGCAGTGGGGCCTGTGGGTCACGGGAAATTGTGGGAGGTTGTGGAAGATCGTAGAACCCGAGGAATCGGGACGTTGTACACGTAGCTCGGCATAGGGGTCTTGACTATCTAATAAGGAAAATGTCTTGGCGGAGGAAAGAGAGAAGGTAAGAGATCAACAACGTGTTCTGGGCATACCCACCTATGACCACCAATGACCACCCGGAGATCAACAGGGGGAACGTCTGCTTCTCCCCTTCACTCTGTGCTATTGCCTCGCGGCCTAGCCGTTTCTGACAGCTGTATCCGCCGGTCATAGCCGCATACTGAGAGCTAGAATAAGTTTTGGCGAAAAGTTCATGAGCAACTCGGTAGTTTCCAAATCCTGAAAGAACATGCTGAGCAAGTCTTGATAGGGATATATATATATATATCTCAGAAACCCAGTGACAGGTCATACTGCGAATGGACAAGCCGCTTGCGTAGGGAATCCGGCCATGACACCAGCCCCCTCTCCTACACCTACACTTAAGGGAAATATGCGAGAACTGCTGGCCACAATCGGACTTCAGATTCAGATGCAATGGTCGCATAACACGACGTTCCACATAGAAATGAAAACAACTTCGTATGGCTGCAGTGACTGTTGCCATCGCAGAAATAGTTCGGCATGGTGAGTTGGGATTTCTTTGACACGTTTAACACAACAAATCGGCATTATTCAGCTTCGCAAGATGGGCACAGCCAGTGACGCTCTGCACCGGTCGTTCTCGTTCATGTCTAACCTAGTATATTAATGGCAAGGTCGGCATCTGGTGTAGTGTGGATCCCTGGAAACGTTTTCTGGTTGGAAGCCTGAAGTTTACTGTCACTGTGGGTTATGAGGTGACGTGGATGTAAATGGTCCAGGGTGTTCGCGGAAGATTCTGACTGCATATATGGTTCTGATGCCTTTGCTAGAACGTACGAATTAGATACCTACGTAAATATGAGCCTTGGCTTGGGAAGGCTTAATGCGAGTCGGAGAATGATCCACCCAACGAATGATGACACTGAACGGAACTCGACGTCAGCCTAAAAGAGACTAATGAAGTTGGTACCGACGGGAGGAATACAGCACTTAAGTCAAGTCGTGAAGTGAAGCGGTACCGATGCCAGTAGAAGAGGACGATGGATTTGCATTGCGTCTCTTGGTGCATAATGAATTTATGCGCTGTGTGTCGACAGT